CTCCCTCTCCCTCTCCGACACTAGAAACTGTTTTAAAAAGGAAATAAGGAACTTGAGTAAGCAGGAGGCCCATCTGTGGCTCTCGGACCCCTGTAGCTGCTGGCCAGGTGTTCACCAGGGCCACCGTGCTGGCACTGCGCCTACCTTGTCCACAGCATTGTGTCTGTTCCCTGTGTCCTGTCTTGCTCTCCTCGTGGAGATGATGGGTGGGCAGGATCTGGGCCATCACCCCGTGGTGCCCAGAAGCACCTAAGACCTGCTGAGCTGGCCCAGCCCTTCTATGTGTTATGTCCCTCCTCATAAAAGTGGGTGAGGGACTCTTGGTCTCCACACCTGGAAGGAAGGTTCGGGGGAGGGCAGTGTTTTCAAAGGGCACATTTGTCTCTTCTGGACACTTCTTACACCCGGACCGTTTGCTGGTCTGGTCTAGTCTGGTTTAGTCTGCTCTGGTCTGTGTCCCCACCCCCACCTTCAAAAAAAAAGATTGTCACTGTGCCGTGTGATCTGGTCTCCTCCCCCCGCCAGTCACAGACTTGTTCCCTCGGATGGGGGCTGTGACCAGCGCCTTCAGGGTGGTGGGCTGTGGGTGGTGGCTGCGGGTGGTGGCAGCTGTGGCCTTGCTCTCCCTGCCAGCTGCACCACCTGGTGAGCGACGACGTGTGTCTGAAGGTGGTGGAACTGTACCTGAATGAGCAGCAGCGAGGGGCGGCCGGGGGCAACCTGTCTTCCCGCTGCGTTCGAGCTGCCCGGGAGACCAGCTACCAGTGGAAGGCGGAGCGCTGCATGGCGGACGAGAACTGCTTCAAGGTGAGAGGCCGTGGGGCGGCCTGGGGCGAAAGGCCAAGGCACTGGAAGAGGACTGGACACCGAGCGGGATGCCAGGGGCACTGTCACCACACCTGTGGGCCAGGAGTCCCTCCTACAGGGCAGTGCCAAGGCCCTGGGGGGAGGTAGGGGTGGGTGACGGCTCCTCAGACTATGGCCACCTCCCCAGGTGATGTTCCTGCAGCGCAGGGGACAGGTGATCATGACCATAGAGCTCCTGGACACTGAGGAGGCGCAGACAGAGGACCCTGTGGAGGTGCAGGTGAGTCTGGACTCAGCTGGGGGGGGCCTGCAGCTTCCATCCTTCCTACGTGCCGGCCACAGGTCACAGCGCCACAGTCCTGGTCATGCCTCCCACTCTACCAATAGTTCAAAAGACACGACACCCATGGAAGCCCCGAAGCAGTCACCGAGGACCCTTCCTCTGGCCTGGTACCTTCCAGGGTCCCTCCCTGTGTACCTGTCACTCAGTGTGCACACTTACTTCCTGTGGCCTCCACAAGTGACCACAGACCAAGACATTGCAAGAACGGAGCCAAACCCTCTCATCCTGGATGCCTGGGGTCCAAACTCAAGGGCGACTGAAGTCCCAACTCTCAGAGATGCTAGGAGGCCCCTCATAGCCTCTGCCACTTCTGAGGGCTCCAGCTGCTCTAGCCAGGTGGTGGCACACACCTTTAATCCCAGCACTCAGGAGGCAGAGGCAGGTGGATCTCTGTGAGTTTGATGCCAGCCTGGGCTACAGAGTGAGTTCCAGGACAGCCAGGACTGTTACACAGAGAAACCCCGTCTTGGAAAACAAAAAACCTGTGGTGTAGTTTGGTGGTGGATGCTTGTGTGGCATCGGCCAGGCCCCGGGTTCCGTCCTCAGTGCTGCAAAATAGAATATAAATGAGGACTGCCACCCTCTACAGCCTCACCTTGATGGTATGTGCAAATGAGGTCACACACAGGTCCCAAGACTCTGGAGTGCCAGAACTACGCACACGCGCACGCGCACACACACATACCAGGCTTCACACTGCCCTTCCTCTGAGCCAGACAGTCTGTAGACAAGAGGTACAGGAAATGTGTCGTCCTTGGTGGCCACACCTTCCTGTCCTTGGCTGACCTGACTAAACACAGGGAGGCAGGCGTGAGGGAGCACAGGCTAGACCTGAAGGCACGTGCCCACACCTCCTTGAAGACCAGGATACCCCTGCTGCCTGCTGCAGTCAAAAGCCTCCCTCCCCACATCCTCTGTTCCTCCAACGAGTATACACACGTGCACACGCACATGCATGCACACATGCAGTGTGCATGCACGTGGGACATGCATACACCCCCTGCCATTTTCCCTTCCCAAGGCAGGAGAAAACATTTCGTGGAGTTTGTCCGGAGATTGGCCTGGTTAGCTTCCTGTTGCAATGATAAACACTAGACCAAAAGCCGCTTGGGGAGGAGAGGGAGTGCTTTGGTTTACATTTCCACACCTAGACAAGCAGGCAGGCAGGAGCTTACTGGCTTGCAGCTTAGGCCACCTGCCAAGTGGTGGCTCTGCCCACAGTGGGCTGGGCCCTCTACCAATTGGGAATCAAAATCCCCCCACAGATATGTCCACACCCTAATCTAATGGAAGCAATTCTTCAGTTGAGGGTCCCTCTTCCTTGGAGACTCTAGGCAGGGGCCACACCCCAGCTCCTCACTGGGGATTCTAGGCGGGGGCTCCACCCTGACCACGCCCCCAGCCCCTCACTGGGGATTCTAGGCGGGGCTCCACCCTGACCACGCCCCCAGCCCCTCACTGGGG